CTTGATGAAATTGAATCCTTACATAATCATAGTCTAGGTACAAAGAATACAACTGAATTTAAAGGATTTAATTTGGAAGGTGAAGCATCTAACAAAAATGATGTATCTGCAATTATTGTGCTTGATTCGGGTATTTTTTACTTATCACACAAAATAAATTGATTTTTGAACAGAGAATATTCTTTCTATTAATGATATGATAAACCTGTAGATACTGATTCTGAAGAAAACGGTGGACCTGAATTAGCAATATCCTTGGCAAGGGAGGAAATAGGTGTTGGAAATGTGAATCCAGTGGTAGCACAAAAAAGAACAATATTTACTTACAAATTACAGTTATTGCAAGATAAGTTAGCTGCAACAAAAGTAAGATAGTATATAATTTCAATATTAGTAATATAATTTTGTGATATGCCGAAGAAAACAGTTTATACATAATTTGATTCTCGATAACTATAAGAAAACAAGTATGTAATATATTATAAATAGTATATAGAATAGTAATAGTATATAGAATAGTAATAGTATATAGAATATAAATCATTTTCTTCAGCTGATACTTTGTAGTGGTAATGTTGAAGTACTAGAAGATAAAGGGGAAAAATTGCGTGAAAGTAAGCGAGAATGCGAAGAAGAGATTGAGCTATTAAAACTTGAATTGAAAAACACACCCTTGGTGCAAAATTCCGATATTAAGAAAACTATCGTGAAAAATGAACCATTATTGTTCTTCAAAGACGATTCAAGTTCTGATCGAACATATCATTCATATTTGGATGTTGATGATATACAGATGAAACCCAGCACATCTACAGAATTAAAAGAACTGGATAAAATGGCACAAGAGACTATGAATAAGGAGCTTGCTTTAACAGTTGAACGATTACAAGATCTACATGGATCTCTCGTGGCTCGTCCGTCCGACGATGAAAAGGCCGAAGATCCAAGGGGATTGAAAGTACCATTAATGCCGCATCAACAACATGCTCTCGCGTGGCTTCTGTGGAGAGAGCAACAAAGACCGTCTGGCGGTGTTTTAGGCGAATACTTCCGAATAATTTTATACTGACGTTGACATTTTATGATATTGTAATTTTTCTAAATAGATTTCTCTCCCACAGCCGATGACATGGGTTTGGGCAAAACACTAACCATGATATCTTTAATCATGGTTACTCTTGACAAGAGAGATTCTGTCGATAGCGATGAAAGCGACGACAGTGACGGCGGGTGGAACGAAAAGAAGAAGCCTTTGCGTATGTAAAAGCTTAGTTTATGAGACTCGCTTCATTGTCAAGAATTTCAGCACCTCCCATCGAATTATTGAATTTGACACGAGTGCATTATACATAATATGGATATTCTCTGTTGGAGTGTTTATTTATAATTTCGATCGATAGGTCATGCGGATGGTACCCTCGTAATATGCCCGGCGTCCTTACTGTCGCAATGGGAAAAAGAAGTGCAGGACAAATGCAAACGCGGTCTGTTATCCGTCCAAGTGTATCACGGTAGCAATCGAGAGAACGTACCTACCCGTTTGGCGAAGAACGATATCGTTGTCACGACGTACAACATAGTCAGTCGAGAATTTAAAGTCACTTCTATCTTATTTAAGGTATTCCACGACGTGAAAATGTCATTTGGCTTACAATCGGCAACAACTATTGAGAAATATTGGACTTGGCCGTGAGTTAAAATTTACTTGCAGATTCGCTGGAAGAGAGTTATACTCGACGAGGCTCACGTAATAAGAAACCATAAGAGTCAAGCGGCCATAGCAGTTTGTGGACTTTTGGCAAGTAAACGGTGGGCACTTACTGGTACACCCATACAGAATAAGGAAGTGGACCTGTATTCTGTTTTAAAGTTCTTGAAATGCACGCCTTTCGATGATCTGCGCGTGTGGAAACGATGGGTGGACAATAAAAACGCCGCCGGCCATCAGCGACTGGCGACTGTCATGAAGACATTAATGTTACGACGGACCAAGCAAGAACTGCAATCTCAAGGCCGTTTAGAGAGTTTACCCAATAAATGTGTAGAGGAAGTGACAGTGAAACTCGATTCACAAGAACAACTGGTGTACGAGAAGATTTTAGTTTGCTCTCGCACTCTCTTTGCACAGTTCTTGGCTCAACGTGCTGAGAAACAGCACATGTTCGAACTGCACGCCGGAAAATACGATCAGCCAACGTTCCTTTCAAATCCGAGTAAGTTGAATATAAGATTCTGCATGAGATAGAAGTTTTAATATAAAATTTTTATACCTTGCATGCTCAATGATTTAATAAAACTTTTAAAAATTCATTTTAATATACGTGCTCGACAATCGCCTGTTTTCTCACAGACAAAAAGACGCAGTTTACGAAAGCTCAAACGAAATTGTTGGCGATGCACGCCGATGTAAAAACACACGAAATTTTGGTACTACTACTGAGATTACGTCAGGTGTGTTGTCATCCAGCATTGATCCACGCGATGCTCGATCAGGAAGAAATGCAAGTGAGCGAGATAATGAACGCGGAAAGTATGAGTCCCAAATTATTGTCGCGGTTGAGTAACATGTCTCTTCATAGAACCGATAGCCATGAGAATTCTGAGGAGGAGGAAGAAATCGGCATCGATCGTCGAATAGTTCAGAATGTGCTTACCGCTGAGAATCCGGTATTCGATAACGATCGCGTTGGTTCTAAAGTGAGTGGCAGTTAGCTGCTGGAAAATCTTTAACGATCGATTTTAGCCGCATGCGGTTAATATAATACGTAATACACAATAATTTTCAGATGAAAGCTCTATTTGATGTGGTCAAGAAAATTTTACAAACAAACGACAAACTCGTTATTGTTTCACAATGGGCCACTTTGCTAGATATTATAGCATCGCATTTGAAGTTGATGAAAGGTGCTACGTTTGCCAAGTTTACAGGAAGAGTTGCTATTAAAGATCGACCGGTATGTCGCGAATGATAACTCCGTAATTAAATAAGAAATTGATGAGTCATTTCTCTTTCTCTCTTTTGATCTTATTTAACAAAAACATGATATGTTTTTTAGATTATAATGGAGTCTTTCAATAACCCAGATTCCAATCCGAGAATCTTATTACTATCTCTTACCGCTGGAGGTGTCGGTCTGAATCTGGTGGGTGGAAATCACTTGTTATTGTTCGATATTCATTGGAATCCGCAATTAGAAACGCAAGCACAGGATAGGATTTACCGTTTCGGTCAGAAGAAGGATGTATATATTTACAAGTGAGTACATCGCGCACAGTTTCAGTACACTGCATCAAGTTTGAAGAATCTTTTAAAGTTGAACTTCTCCTCTTTCAGATTTATTTGCAGCAATACGATAGAAGAGCGCATAAAAGCTCTGCAAGAGCGAAAACTCGTTATCGCACAAAACGTATTGAGCGGCGACAGAAGCAAGGAAGTCATGAAGCTTACTTTCAATGATCTCAAGTCGCTGTTTGCTCTTTAATTTATGCTTTATAATGACTAGAATATAATATGAAAAGAATAATAACCAACTATCGAAATATGACTATCGATTAGTTCGGCCGAATTTGACTATCTATTGGTTTTTTATTAATATAAGACATATCTTTTATATTAGTTCAATTATATTTCTTGTGTTAAAAAAAAATGACTCGTAATTTCTTAACACAAGAAGAAATGTAAAAAATGCTTTTGCGATTTTATCGTATCATAGGGAACTCAAGTCGCTGTTTGCTCTTTAATTTATGCTTTATAATGACTAGAATATAATATGAAAAGGATAATAACCAACTATCGAAATATGACTATCGATTAGTTCGGCCGAATTTGACTATCTATTGGTTTTTTATTAATATAAGACATATCTTTTATATTAGTTCAATTATATTTCTTGTGTTAAAAAAAAATGACTCGTAATTTCTTAACACAAGAAGAAATGTAAAAAATGCTTTTGCGATTTTATCGTATCATAGGGATCTCAAGTCGCTGTTTGCTCTTTAATTTATGCTTTATAATGACTAGAATATAATATGAAAAGGATAATAACCAACTATCGAAATATGACTATCGATTAGTTCGGCCGAATTTGACTATCTATTGGTTTTTTATTAATATAAGACATATCTTTTATATTAGTTCAATTATATTTCTTGTGTTAAAAAAAAATGACTCGTAATTTCTTAACACAAGAAGAAATGTAAAAAATGCTTTTGCGATTTTATCGTATCATAGGGAACCCCGATATTTATTTCAATATTATGTAATATTCCACGTTTTTTAAGTTTATATGATGGATTTCCATATTACAGTCCAATAAGTTAAAATAAATGAAAGTGTATAGAAAATTACGATATATTTGTTGACTTATCACATGACACTTAAGTTTGGTCTACAATGTACAAGTCTGAAAAACTACAGTAAAGTTTTGTCGCCTTAATGTATCTGGGAACTGAAGTTTTAAACCGTAAAATATTTTTCAACCTGTCTTAAGAATATGATTTTGTTTTCAAAATTACGACCAATTAAATTTTGTCTGCCACGGATTATAAAACAACTGTATGATTTTCGGAAATATATTTATCGATTCTTACATAATGAAGAGAAAGAGGAATTTGAGAAATTTTTACCAATGATTCAAACTTTCATTGAATTCGGCTTAATTTTCGAGATAATTATTAAATTTGAATTAAAAATGCGGGATCAGCAACAACTTTCGATGTATCGAAGCCATGTCACTTCTTATATCGAGAAATGTTCGATAGTTCCGAACGTCAATTGTTATTGGTAGATTCAAAATTTCAGTTGGCTGTGAATTGTCGGCTTGCGCTGGTGTAGTGCGAGTCGTCTGATTTAAAAGTGAATGTCAGAGAATAATAGAGTAGCCCTGTTAAGTTCGTGACAATTATTCGTTGTTATATTCAATCGACAATGAGCACGGATGACAGTTTTGCGCAATGGCAGCGATCGTCACGAGGTTACCGTTTCGACGGTGAATCCTTTGTCATTTCGAGCGATGAAGACGAGAACATTGTTCCGAATTCTTTAGAGCAACGGCTCCTGATCGATGAGATTAACAAAAATGATGCCGTTGTATCGCAGAATATGCCAAGAAAGTCAGTATTACCACGAAGTCTGTATTGTTTTGTCGAGGTCAAATCCCGTTATGTAATGTAAATATTCTATGCAAAAAATAGCCCCTGTATTAGCAGTAGCGAAATCGTGACGCGACATAATAAAGTATATTTTCTCGCAAACACGGTACAAAAGATAAATTCGACTGTCATTGCTTTTTCTTTGCAACATTGTTACGTTTGGTAGAAAAAAAGAGATTATTGACATACTGTAATGATTTGAGTACTTTGCTGATTATTCTTAAGTTGATACCACTAATATCTTGATACGTAAACACGTTTGAACTTGTTAGGTATATTATGTTACATATTTTTTGTTTGTTATCCTTCAACACAACAATTATTGAATATTTGCATGGTTATTATATCCTGTCAAACTTCATCATTAATCATATTTGTCCATGTGATTTCACACCAATAATTGTTTTATTACTCTGTTAGTTTAATTATTCGAATAAAAACATTATGATAATATGTAATAATAATTTATAATGAGAAAGACGTATGTCCACAGAAATCGATTCTGTGAAATTACACCAATTGATTTAAGGAAAAAGATTCAACAAATATTTGAAAAGAATAGAATTATAATTTCTGGTGGCAGTACAAGTGGTGAAATTAGAAGCAATGAAGAATATAAGATATCTCATGATAACAGTGATGACTCAAATGGAACTTATATTAAAGATTATGGTAATATATACATGAATGTTATATTTCAGATGTTCACATACATAAATAATTAATGAAATTTTTACTCGACACTGTACTATTTTATAGACTCACCAATTTCATATTCATCACATGAAAAGATAGGCCAAAAACAGAAGGAAATTTTCAATGTCAATACTAGAGAAGACATGAAAAGATTAAAACTTGATAGTTTCTGTGAATCTGTCGATAAGGTTGATCCCTTGCATTATGATACTGCATATGTAAAAAGTGCAATTAAATTTAAAGAAATAAATGGAAATGGTGAAACATCTAATAATGTGTCTGCAACTATTACGCTTGATTCAGGTAATTTTACTTATTCAAAACAGATTGATCCTTCTTGAATAAAGAAAATTCTATTTATTTACGATATATGATGAATATATGATATAGATTCTCATTCTGAAGAAAATAGTAGATCCAAATTAGCAGCAAACCAAGAAACTGATGTTGAAAATTTGAATCCAGTAACAGCACAAGAAAGGTCATTGACTACTATTGGCAATATGCACTTTTTGCAGGATAAGTTAACAGCAACAAAAGTATGATAGTATATAATTTCAATATTATTAATGGTATAAAATTATTAAGATAACATTCTAATATTAAGAAAACTGTTGTGAAGAATGAAACGTTCTTCTCAAAAAGGGAATCAATGTTCTCGAACGAGGACGCAAGTTCTGATGGAACAGATGATTCATATCTGCATATTGATTATATATCGCTGAAGTCCACCACATATCCAGAATTTAAAAAACTCGGTAAGAAAGCACAAGAGACAAGGGATAAGGAGCTAGCTTTAACAGTCGAGCGTTTACAAGATCTACATGGATCTCTCGTGGCTCTTCCATCGGAAGATGAGAAGGCCGAAGATCCGAGAGGATTGAACGTATCGTTAATGCCACATCAACAACATGCTCTCGAATGGCTTCAATGGAGGGAGCAGCAAAGACCGCCTGGCGGTGTTTTAGGTGAGTATTTTAGAATAATTTTATATCAATGTCCACATTTTGTGATGTTTTGTCATTTTCCTAATTTGAATTTTTCTCGCCCACAGCTGATGATATGGGTTTAGGCAAAACTCTAACTATGATATCTTTAATCCTGGCTACTCTCGGAGAGAAAAATTCCAGCGATGAAAGCGATGACATTGACGACGAATCGAGCAGAAAGAAGCCTTTGCGTATGTAAAAGCTTATTTTATATCAAGACTCATGTAAGAGATTTATTTCATGTTAAGAATCTTAGCATCTCACCTAGTAGTTACTTAACATTAACATAAGTGCGTTTTATAATATGAATAATTTATCGGAATAATTATATTCGATTTCGCGCGATTCGCAGGTTACGTGAGAGGTGGCACTCTCATAATATGTCCGGCGTCCATATTATCGCAATAGGAAAAAGAAGTGAAGAACAAATGCAAACACGGTTTATTGACCGTTCAAGTTTATCGCGGTAGTAATCGGGAGAACGTACCTATCCGCTTAAGGAACAATAACATCGTTATCACGACGTACAACATAGTTGCTCGCGAATTTAAAATCACTTCTACCTTATTTAAGGTATCCCACGACGTGTGAAAATGTCGTTTGTCTTACTAATATTAATTATTGCGAAATGTTGGATTTGATCATGAGATGAAACTTATCTTCAGATTCATTGGAAAAGAGTGATACTCGATGAAGCTCATATAGTAAGAAATCACAAGAGTCAAGCGGCCGTAGGAGTTTGCGGGCTCACAGCGGATAAACGATGGGCACTCACTGGCACACCCATACAAAATAAGAAAATGGACCTGTATTCTATTTTGAAGTTTCTGCAGTGCACGCCTTTCAATGATTTGCGGGTGTGGAAGCGATGGGTGGAAAACAGAAACGAGGCCGGCCACCAACGACTGGCGATCGTCATGAAAACGTTAATGTTGCGGCGAACTAAGGAAGGATTGCAATCGCAAGGCTGTTTAGAAGGTTGTTTACCCTATAAGTGTGTAGAGGAAGTAACGGTGAATCTCGATCCGCAGGAGCAACTGGTGTACGAGAAGATTTTAATATACTCACGTACTCTTTTTGCACAATTCTTTACTCAACGAGCGAAAAAAAAGTATAGATTCGATCCTTTTGACGGAAATTATGATGAGCCAGCTTTACTTTTAAGTTCGAGTAAGTCAAATATTCGATATCGTCGTAGGATTCTACAGAAAAATGTTCAACTTTAATATAAAATTTTGTGCCTTGCATGCTTAATGACTGAAGATTTTTAAAATTTATTCCAGTAAATGCGTGCTCACGCGATAATTTGTTTCTAATTATTTACAGGCAAAAATACGCAGTTTACGAATGCTCAAAAGATACTATTGGCGATGCACGCCGACGTAAAAGTATATGAAATTCTGGTATTATTGCTAAGATTACGTCAGGTGTGTTGTCATCCAGCATTGATCCACGCGATGCTCGATCAGGAAGAAATGCAAATGAGCGGAATAATGAATGCGGGAAATATGAGTCCCGAGTTAATATCGCAGTTGAGCAACATATTTTTTCATGGAATCAATAGTCATGAGAATTCTGAGAAGGAGGAAGAAATCGGCATCGATCATCGAATAGTTCAGAATGTGCTTACCGCTGAGAATCCGGTATTCGATGATGATCGCGTTGGTTCTAAAGTAAGTGGCAGTTAGCTGCTGGAAAATCTTTAACGATCGATTTTAGTCGCGTGCGATTAACGCAATACGTAATGAATTTTAGATGCAAGCTCTACTCGACATGGTCGAGAAAATTCTGCTAACAAATGACAAACTTATTATTGTTTCGCAATGGGCCACTTTGCTAAACGTTATAGCTTCGCACTTGGAGTTGATGGCAGGCGCTACATTTGCCAAGTTCACGGGAAGTGTTGCCATTAAAGATCGACCAGTACGTCGCAAATGATAACTCCATGATTAAATGAGATATTGACATATCTTTTATCTCTCATCTGATCTTGTGTAACAAAAAATACGTGTTGATACGTTTTTTAGGCTATAATAGAGGCATTCAACAAACCAAATTGCAACCCGAGAATCTTATTGCTATCTCTTACCGCTGGAAATGTCGGGCTGAATCTAGTGGGTGGAAATCACTTGTTGTTGTTCGATATTCATTGGAATCCGCAATTAGAAACGCAAGCACAGGATAGGATTTACCGTTTCGGTCAGAAGAAGGACGTATATATTTACAAGTGAGTGCGCACAGTTTCAGTATACTGCATCAAGTTTGAAGAATCTTTTAAAATTGAACTTTTTTTCTTTCAGATTTATTTGCAGCAATATGATAGAAGAGCGTATAAAAGCGCTGCAAGAGCGAAAATTGGCTATTGCGCGGAACGTACTGAGCGGTAACAGCAAGGAGGCTACAAAACTCACGCTCAACGACCTCAAGTCGCTGTTTGCTCTTTAACTTATTTTACGTTGAACAGAGTATTATATGGCAATCTATTGATTTTTTATTCATATAAGACATTGTTTATTATATAACATTTTATTTTATTTTAAACGTACAAAACATTCTTACGTTATATGGTTAATTTTCACTACGACGTATATTCGTTTCACTATATAACTGACAGATAGGTCTGCAATTTTTATTTATTTTTCAATAAGTAGCATATTAATTTATCTTTGAAATGCGAATGGACTTGTCAGATTTTGATTATCAATGCAAGCTAGTGCATGTAGGTTTTGTTTTTAGCACATACATATATATATGTTCATATATATAATATTGTTAAAATTTTACTCGCATGTCGTTAATGTTAATATAAGCACAAAACGGAACAAAAGTAAATAATGATTTGTGAGTTTACATCGTATCATAGAGATCCCTAATAATTATATAAACATTATATAATATTCCGTTTTTAAAGCTAAAATTTTTATATGATTTGGTCAATATTACAGTCTAATTAATAAATTAAGTTAAAATGTAACGAGAGTGTGTTGGCAATTGTAAATGCATTTCTTCTTGGCTTATCACGTGATGCTTGGAAGGTCAGCGCTTTTCCACTCGCCGTTAGCGTTGTCGGCAACCTTCATTGGCAGTCTTCTTTGTCTTATGATACTATGCCATACTCCATAGAACAAATATATGCACATACCTGCGATAAAGATAAATTATTATGTTCGTGAGTACACGCTTATATCTTTTGCGACAAACGTACCAGCTGCCGTCCACACGATGAATCGTAACCATGTTTGTGCGCTCAACATCATCATCAAATAAATGTTGATTAGAATGCTGAATGCTGGTAAGAACGGCACCAGCGGCACCTGATAACATGCGACATTAGGATCAATGATACCAATGATGGCACCGAGCTACAGCACACACAAGCGTCGCGCGGTGGTTCTCGTTAAATTCCAGAGGGGTCACGACCGCACGACGCTTGTGTGCGCGACGCGTGATTGGCATCACTGATTAGGATTAATGCGATGATATTGACGAAATTGATTTCGTATTTTTATTTAAGAGTACATCTTACCGAGAACGAGAGCTGCTTGCCGGAAACTGGTTGAAGGTATATGAAGCAGAGTGTGATTACGAGAGCAACGGCAAGAATGACGAGTGGTACTATGACTGTCGCTTTAACCGCTCCGATCTCTTCCATGCACTGCGTAATAAGAAGGGTGATGCCGATGCAAAAGATGACTGCAAAACAAAGTGGCAAAAAAACTCAGTGTATCAGATGACACTTTGAACGACGGAAGCAGCGACGGATACGACGACGAATCTTACTGTAGCAAAATACGAGAGCAGTAACGATCTGCGCGGTGAGTTTCGTGGAGTGTTTCAATCTATTCGCATTCACCAGTTGCTTAACGATGTAGGCATAGGTCCTTGGATCATGGTCGCCTTTTTTCTCGTATGCCTCACTCTCTTCATATCTGCGAGAAAAATGCCTGTTACTTTCGTTAATTGACGAGCCGAGCTGTCTGATTATGCCACCGATTTCATCGAGGTCGAGTGATTTTGGTTCAATTGACTCTCTTCTTATTTCAGCATTAAAAACAAGTTAATCGAAGCTGATCGAATCTTGCGAAATCAGTCGTGAATGTCGCATACTGTTTTCAGTCTGATTAATCAATTTATTTAAATTTCTCACCGTAAGACAAGCACACAAGCCGCTACGATCGAGTACGCGAGCAGCGTGCCGATACTCATCATATCAATTAACTGATCACGTTCGAATATCGTCGCCAGAATACCTGCAACATTTCACGTGAACGATTAAATGCAACTCTAATTGATCCAAGGAAGATGACGCAAGGAATCGCGACGTACCTGTGAGAAGTCCAGCGATCAGCGTGCCCAACAACGGCGTCTGGAATCGTGAGTTTATTTTTCCCATCCACGCGAATATCAGTCCGTCCGAAGCCATCGCGTAGATCACTCGCGGCAGCGGGAACATTGCGCCTAACAAACTGAAATAATTGTTCGATCAATTCAAAATGTTGCACGCCACAAACTTTACATATGCATAAATCAGCATATCCAAGATGCGAACGTTGCTCTTGCGAAGTAAGTGCGCGCCCACCATATATTTGAAGGTTTTTTCTCCAATTCGAATCAATCATTTCTTTCTTGGATTACCTGGCGCAAAGTCCGCAAATTGCACCGACCGACACGAGCCATCTCGCCCAAGTCCATCCCATCGTGTCGAACATATGCGGAAACGGCGCGTCAGGATTTTGCTCGTAGTAAGGTAGCACGGTGGTGAGCACTATCGAGACGCTGAAGAATGCCAAGAAGACTACTGTCAGAGACGCGACGATAGCAATCGGAATAGATCTCTTTGGGTTTTTCGCCTCTTCTCCCGTGGTAGCCACGCAGTCGAAACCGATGAATCCGTAGAAGCATTTTGCCGCGCCAGTTAAAATGCCTGACACACCGTAAGGAGCGAATCCACCGGTCCCGTAGGGACAATGGTCCTTCGTGCAATTTGGCTTCGTTTCCCAATTCCTAATGTCAGCTGCATGCCGTTACAAAATCATTAGATTAATGTCATTATTAAAAAGACGAAATTAGAAGTTGAAAATTCAACAATTGCCATTTCTTATTTCACTTCATCTCAGTGAAAAACTATAACGACGTTACAGTCGTAACATATCTAAAAACTGAACTTTCAAGGAGACGAACGAAAAGTATACCTTTGAAGGATCCAGCGATCACTACAAAAAGCACGACTGAGAGATTCACCACAGTGAAGATATTGTTCGCCAACGAGGACTCCTTGGCTCCGAAGGCAAGCGCGGCTGAAAAGAAGATCGTAAATTGCTCGAATCATCCTGTTCTCTCCGATGTTTAAATCATAATTACAGATTTCTCGATCGTGCAATGAATTCACAAGTTGCCATTTATCGGTATTTAACAACAAAGACGATATATAGCGATAAAGCAACGAATGTATCGCTTGCGTGCGTTGAAACACTTCGTCTAATTACCCGCAAACACTAGGGTGATAGAGAAAGCGAAGAAGTCCGGATAAGGTGACATGTAGCCGAGGTCCATCGGCGCCGCCGACGTGAAGGCTTGCCTCATGGTGTTGTTGAAGAGCTCATCGACGTACATGCTGAGGGTACGGCCTACGCTGGCCGTGCCGATTACGTACTCCAATATTAAAGTCCAGCCGATGATAAACGCCACGAATTCACCCATCGTGACATAGCTGTAAACGTACGCTGATCCAGCACGTGGCACTCTTGCGCCGAATTCAGCGTAACAGACACCTGCACAGATGATAATCTAATATCTGAGAAAACAGCGTTAATTGATACCGAAACTGTAACGATCGATCAATTGATTAATTCGTGTGACTGAATAATCGATTCGTCTTTTTCCTAAGAAACTGCGCAACCGGAGACGGTAACATCTCCGGCTTATCTCGCTTGTCAGTGAAACAATGCTCGGCGAGCATTTACACTATCGTTTTCTGCATAGCTTGCATTACAACACGGGATCTACAGCGAGAGACAGCGATGGACAAAATAAGTCTTGGCGTTCGTTATTTGTTCAGCGTTTACCTTCGCATTATCTACGCTGTGTCACGTGCGATTTAGCACGTGCGCATTTCTTCTCTTTTCTTGAATTCTGAATCATTTAACTCGTTTTGAATAATTTCTCCGAAACGAGTGTTTCACGATCAGGATGCCGAGAGGAAGGAATCACAGGGCCATGATGATTATCCAGGAAATTGGACGACTACAGGAAATCATGAAGCAAAAGTAAGGATACACATTGGAGACGTTAGATAATATTATGAAAATGACTTGAGACGCTAATTCGGCCAATGTTACAATGTTGAGGAGGAGAAGCGATAGATTTGAAATTTTTCGTAATCAAATATTTCATAACGGAGATAAAGGAAAACATAAGCGATAACGAACCGAAATCAGTCTGCTTCTTATCTCCTATCGGGGCACCATACCTGCGAACATCGATGCCACTGCGGCGATGGCGAATGAAATCACTACCGCCGGGCCGGCGGTGAGCATTGAAACGGATCCTGCCAAGACGTAGACACCCACTCCCATGGTGGAGCCGATTCCCAATGCTGTGAGATCGAGGGTCGACAAACATCGCGACAATTTCGAGTCCACGACGATGTCTATCACCTTCTTGCGGCTGAAGGCCTTGTATATGCTGCCGCATTTCCATTTCATATTGTACAACTGAAACGAGAGAACGCAGACACGTTGAATTAAAGTGTATTTAAAACTGAAAACATGCTGAAGAGAGACGAACTAAGGAGAGATTTTTCGAATTTCACGATTTCCCGTACGGGCTCAAAGATCAATCGGATTCGACGATGCTGCAGTCGCGCGATAATTTCATTTTTTATTAGTCGCCTTCTTAATAGAAAAAAAAGCCGATTCCATGATGATACACATTCTTCATTCTCAATGTCTCGCGTATGTATTCCCTTATTTGCGTGTGGAAGCGAGGCACGAAGAGAATTTCGGCGTCTCACCTCAACGAACTGCGTGACAACGGAATCCATCGTTCCTTTCTTTTCTTTCCTTCAGATGAGACACTCTCAATCGGAATATTCTACGAACTGTCCGTCGAACAGTAAGCGCGCGACTAAAGGGGATTAATTGAAATGCCTTTATATAAATCAAGAGCGCGACATGCGTCGGAGATCTCTTCGGCGCGCTCAATTGGTTAAGTCGCGCCGCTGAAAGAACGGTCCTATAGCGAACCTCCGCTCGACATTTATTACAACCAAACTTCATCGACACTTTGACGCGTCCTCATCTCTTCCATCGCGTCGCTTAAATGTTTCCCGATCAAGCTCTCTTCGCGATCCGCGATCGTGATCATTCGAGTCGCACCTCTCGCGTGCGTATTCGGCATATCGCGATCTGTGCGACCTGTTAAAATGCTGTGAGGATTTTAAGCAGAGTAGAAACCGGGGAGAAATCGATATGCTAATTTTATCGAGGCGTTTTTCATAAAGAAAACACGATAGCGGAAATTAATGATTTAATCGAGATGGTACGCGAAATACGGAACGGACATTTTTAGTTGTGGCGTTATCTACAATCTCTCATCGAGCGTCACGTACGTTTATATTGTTATATAAACGGTCAGTCTGCTTCAAGGATAATCATTGACACCTTAGAAATAAGGACGCAGGTATGGTTTTCGTGGAAATACGGTGAACTTTGCACGGCTGAATTAGTTTGTGTATCGTTTCGCGCACACGTCGTTCGTTGCGCACGCCTAGCATAGCGTAGTTCAACTTTCGAGAAATCCCATGACAATTCCATCTTGCTTTCCCACGAATTCCCCTTTTCTGGCCTGACAATCTCTCACCTGTACAAGAACACGATGATAAATGCGTTAACGCAAATCACTCGGTCGACGCGGCACGAGGATAGAAGTTATCGATATTTGGCAATATCGCGAGAACAATACGCTTATCTTGTTTATTTTGTCAAATAATAACGTCTACCGGCTTGCGAAATTCCTTCTATTCTTGTTTTTGCGGCGCGATAACCGCACTTCCGATATGTAGATAAGTAAGCTTCTTACCTGTAGCGAAGTTTCCTCGTCTACGTCGTCCACCAAATTGTCACGTCGTTACTCCAATAGCACAGGCACGCTACTGATAATTATACGATACGCGGCGACTTTGCGATCTCGAAAGTGTTTTCAACGCATATAATAACTAGCTTTTGTTTCGCTTATCTGCACGCAGAGATACCGATTATCCCCGGTGAGATAGGGATTTGATACGATCTTTCAAGTGATACATATCATTCTCCAAGTTCAACGTCTTCTAACAGTTCGCGACGTGTGTTTTGCTCGCGAATACGAAGAATTCTTGCGACGTTCGGCGAACTATAATACTTCGAGTAAGTACTATTTTTTGTATGATAAGGCAATCGTAGTCCGCCATAAATCCGCTTATCCGTTATGGAGTAGAAACTCAGTGTTCTCAGCAAATTGTAAATGAAGTTTTTATTTAAAAATAGAGACAAACTATATTCTACATACATATAACAAAGAATATTATAAAAATATTACGGAATATTACATATCCTAATGAAATATTATTGCAATTGGACGGATTAAGTGTTGTGTAATACAGTCGTGGTTCCTCACTAGATAACATACAGTCAGATTAGTGATAATTAATTTATACAATATAAGATCATATAAACTTCGAACTTGCAACAAACATTCGTAAGTTAATCGACGATCATGTAAAAGTTACTTGTTTGTCAGAATAAAATTTTTATCTACAGACATGTTGCATTATAAGGCACATTAATGCAAATATTTATGATAACTTGATAATTCATATATTCATGATAATTCGCATAAGATTAGATAAAACTTAATCTACTCAAACATGTTAGAAAAATGTAAAATTATATGGTAAAATCTTCGTTAACACTTTGAAGCCTAGGCCCTAAAGATGATTTATTAATGGGATCCTGGACAATTTTGATGCCTATCAGAAAATTTTCATTATTAATGTATATCGTTGTAATTTAGTAACCAATACATCAATTTTAATTGTGAAAAAAGCACTTTAAAAGCAGCAGAAACGTATGGAATGGCAGTTGTCGTCTGTGCGCTACCTATACTCGGGCTTAGGACAAAGTGTTAATAGCCGGTGTTGTACTAAAAAAATGAACTTTGCATATTCAGTCTGCAGTGGTGAGATTCATTGACTGACTAAAACGTCAGTTAATCATATCATAATCATTACTTATACACCATGATTATTTGTACCTCTGCAGATCGTCACTGAAACCTCAATGCGCCCAATAATGAGGTCAGAATTGTTGCAGCAAGTATGCTGTTATGCAATTTCATTTTGTTGCTGGCAGACTGAAGCAAATAACAAAGCATTTGTTAACAATGTATTTTCATCTTCCACAAATTACAGATCGAATCATACTTACTATGACATAATAATTACACCTGTCACCCAGACAACAATGTGAACATTTCCAGTCCTGATACCAAATATGTGTGCAATCAGGCATATTAATCCGCTGCTGCCTTTCGCAGTCCTTCTTGGTGGTACAGTTTTTAGAGACATAAAATTGTTTCTTTGCACCCTGCGACCAGTATGGTGTACCTGCAATACCACAGATTGAATTTACTATTAATATATATATTGCTGAGTGCAAAAATATACATGCTATTTGATACAAAAATATTTAATGTATGCATGATTACATGTGTTAATTCAGTTATCACATAGATTAGAAAAATTATGTTCATTCTATTGAAAACAAAGTACTCAAGCACTGGTATTAAGATATCAACTGTGACATTCATTAATTAAAGTAAATGTCTCCTTATCGTTTCTACTTGAGGATGATTGCACGATAGTTGTTTATTGTGCTGAAGTGAAGCGATAAGGATCGTGTACTTGAAGTTTACGCATAGTACTACACATAACCTCACAAATGAAAAGATAGAGGAGCGTGTAAAGCGTGCACTCACTTCCCCATCTAATTTCCGTGTAGCAGACGTCTTGGTATGATTCGCAGGTTTTGATGGTATTTAGGCATTTGTCTTGATTACCCTCCTGATTTGTGCAAACGTAACATTCCAGGGCGTGGCCTGCGGTAAAACATTCGTCATATATAGAGAACCAAAAGAGAAATCTTTTATGAGGTTTAAATACTTACCGAGTGATACGCAGAAGATAACGAGCAGCGCGATACGCCAGTTAAAGTCCGGCATTTCGCTGTACGTGAGATAACCTGATCGAGTTTCACCGTGATACGATCGAGAAGCGATCCACCAACTTTGAATGCAGCTGACTGATGCGTCAGTGACGGATCGTAACGGTAGGCACTATGTGTTCGGGGCACCGGGATAATTTTACAATCTTGTGTTGCTCAGCATTAATAATTGAGAATGTAATTCTTAATTTCCTTCAAACTTGGATTTTACTTTTCGACGAAGTGCTAAACGAGAGGTTAATTTACATCGGGGATATCTGAGCACTTTAATCCAAGATCGTGATGTACGGTAAATAGCGCCATCTCGTTTCAAGGTTCAGAGGAAAGTGAGTCACGAAAAGAGGCGAGATTTCTGTTTGGAATATATCGTAAGTAGATTTTTTAAGAGGTGTGCGATATACTTCGCGTGAAGTTATTACCGGTTTACAAGTGTTTGTCTATCAGATACTTTAGATGGTAAGAAGCGATACATAACTTTACAGGTATTTTAAAACCAGCGACACTATAAGAAATATCCCGTGGATTTCAGCCTCGAAAATAAAGTTGAACGGTCTTTTTCTCCGTTTAATTTCAAAATCCTCGACTCGACTGAGCTCTAATTTCAAGCCGGTCAAACTTCACATTAAACATTCGAAAGTAAGCAATTACCGATGTTTGAATATCCATTGAATATCCAGCAAATTTGTTCGTGCCGATATTGGTTAAATGTACAAGGTAGTTATGCAATGCGAACTTTCGGAGAATACAGAGAATGCGGTCGAGCCGAGCTTGATCTTGTCTCGGTCAATGGTATTCCGATGATTCATGCTTTCGTTCGCGGCACTTTAAAATCCGCTTCGAGTTTATTATTCTTAATTGTACCAATCTCACTCCTCCTATCCTATCGATCGTCTTCTCTCGGAAGTTATCGTGTACTCAACTCGAACAATAGCCGACGAAGATGTCGAAAAGTTCTTTAAAGAGATGTCCAAAACATCGGGACGCCTCTTAGACTTCTATTTACGACAGCTACCTTGGAAGAGCCGCCTTCTCTATTGTTGGCTCAATCTTATCATAGTTAATTAAATCCGCCCTTCATTGTTCGCTTTATGCGTCCGCACTTTGAAGAAAAATATCTCCGAAGAAAGCGTTTAGTAAGCTATTAGCAGTTAGCGGACCTGATGACATCCATCAACGATCATGGTGCGCTCATACTATTACACGCGTAGTATTATTTATTCCCTACTTTGTTAATGATGCCTTTGACGTCAATGAGCTCATCTGTTTCCGCGGTTTTACGCGTCGAGCGAAATTCCTGAGCGGTTATCTCCGGTGAAAACGCACGTACTGACGCTGTAAAAATGTCCGTTCTTCTACCGAATAGTATTAACGAAGGTGGTTTATTACCGTTCATTGTTACCGCACATGGGTGAGCAGAGGTAATCGAATGGATGACCGAGGCGTACGCGTCTGTTGAGTGAAGCGAGTGACGCGATCGTTCGATCGATCGATCGCTCGCCGTAATCTGCGGAAATCCGAAGAACGCGCGCAATAAGAACTCGGCGTGATCTCGATGAATCCGTAAAAAGACATATTTTTGCCGAGAACGTCGCGCAGTTTTCACCCTTGTTGAGCCAGCATCGCGGACAAACTCGCATAAATCATTCGATGATTAACCGACGACTCTTCCCGCCGAACGTGTTGACAAACTGAGGAGCGACGTGGGAGTTTTGTACATCCGACAACAACGTCGTCTACGATACGACACCAATTAACGACGAGCGATTATCGATGGTCGTAGCGCATTCGGCCGACAATTTTCTGGACCGGTCACGCCGAAGCGTGTCCTTTAACTGGGTGAACTTTTACATCGGTACTTCCACGATGGTCCTGCGGGATATCCCGCGGACATTCCGGGACACATACTTTCTGTGTGGCGTGCACATGTGCGCGAGCGCTTGCGAGGACTCTCTGTGCATGGTCACGTTATTAAAAATAGCCCGGGGGTATTATTGACCCGCGCGTCACAACTTGGGTTACAGTCTTTCCGGCTGACCGGCTTAGGATCAAGCTATAGCACGTCGTCGTCGTCTCTTTAACCCGAGGCGTAAGTGCACACGGACGGTGCTAAGCGGATGGACGAGCACGCCGATTTCTCGCCAGTGGCCTCTCCCAGGAACAGCGGACTTCTCCATATTTCTATGTTTTCCGCGCCGGACTGACGCGGCGCGATCGATGTTCGGCGTCGAAAAATATTCCTCGAATGAAAGCCGCGAATCTGTGCATTATCGTTAAATGCGATCGCATTACCGTTCCAACACGCGATGGAAGGCCCATCCTCCCTTAGTGAGATTCCGTGTCATCGATCTTATTATCTTACCCGTTCGGTATGTTCTATTTGAAATTCACTTGTGCGAAGCGTAATCCACGCGTGAGTTTTTCTTTTTAGAAAAAAAAGAAACACACTACGCCACGCGTTCGTGGAGATAGTTTCATCGGCAAAATTTTCGTGTACGTCACGTTTATTTATAAATCTGTAATCCACGGCTGTGTGCAGGTACGGAGAGATTTTCACCGAGGTCGCCATCGAAATCGAAAGTTAAATTTTAAATACACAGCGACTTTGAATAAAATATCGAAGGACCAGAGAGCGGGTGCTGTATATGCTCGGGCGAAATAATACGGACTAGGAGTAAAGGCGCTTTCACTAAAATATAAATATTCATAAAAGATTTATTATTAGTTCCCTTTCTCTCTCATGATATGAGAGGTTAGGTAAACTCTCTCAAGGATGAGAACATGACGACCTTCCGCCTCGACTTGGTCGGACGACCGCGGCACGTGCGACGTTTAGCAAGGATATAGCCAGGAAGACGTCTGACAGCAGACGGTCGTAACTACTGCTACCGACGCGCGTCGTGCGTTTCCGCGGGCGAGTCGAAAAGGGCCGAACTTTGCGAACGACGTGAAGTTGCCGCGTATGTATGCTCTAATGGCGAACGGAATCAGCGGCGCAACGGTTGATCTCCGCGAATATGTACGTCCCGGTGTCGTCGTCTCCCATGGATCCTGCCGTTGTTCCGAGTAGGTAGGACTTAATGAGAGGGACCGTAGGAGGTACCTAATGAGAGAGAGAGAGGGACGAGACACGCGCGAAAGTTGGGTCAGATGTAGGCGGAGGTCGAGCTTCCACCACCCTCTCGTAGCCGCGAGGCGAAGCCCGCAGGGAACATTTCGCAAGCGAAAGAACAAGGGAAGGACACGACCTGTACACTCGCTCAGTTTACAGGAAGGAAGGAAGGAAACAGGAAAGGGGGAAACATCGTGCGTGCTTTCCCCTCCGCCATCCTCGTCCGTCACGGCGCCGCGTGCAGCTCGCGGGTTTCGTGGCCGCCGTCGGATGTCGATATTTGAGTGCGCGGCGCAGGCTGAGCAGTGCCGAGCCACTGCGCCGAGAATCTAAAATTATCGGATAGCCCGCGCGCGCGCGCGGCCTATACAGTCACGAGTGAAGAAAGACAGAGAGAGACGGACAACGATATACGGTGTGACAGTTAATCCAGTGCAGGGACGACAGGCATAGATCGCGGCCTTAGAGAGAGAGAGTGAAAAGGAAAAGTGGAGTAAGAGGGACAGCGCGACCAAGTAGTAGTACGAGCGTGGTGGGAAGTAAGAGAGAGCGGCGCGTCCCGCGAGAGGGAAGAGGAAGGAAACACGCGACAGAGTCGATGCCGGGAGAGCGCGCCGTGGAGTGAGGCAGATAACGCGCAGAGACAAGGACGGTACGAGCGAGAAGCAGAAAGAGGGGGTTAGACAGAGGAAGCGCAGCACCCGGCGGGACCATCGAGAGGGAGAAACGGGCCGAGAGAAGGGTTGGTGGTGGAGGAGAAGAGAGGAAGGCTGCCTCCACCGCACGCTATCTAGCACCTAGGCTCGCGTTGGACGTCGGTTGGAACGAACCGCCGCGCGCGTCCAAGTCGACCGTCTCTCTCTCTCCCCCACTCTCATTCAATCCCTCCCGTGCAGCTCCTCTCCGTTCTCTGCCATCGTCCGTCAAGCGTCGCGCGAGACACACCGTCGTCGGTCGGTGCGCCGTGTGACAGCTCTCGCGCGCGCGCGCGATTTTCTCGTCGTGTCGATCGTCGTCGCGTCTCGTCCTCCTCGTTGTCGGCGTCGAAAAACCAGCCGCGGGACCGAGAGTAATCGCGACAGACTCCGTGGCGACGAGCCGTGCGAGTGGCATCCCACCGTCGTCGACACCGTCATCAGCGGCGGCACCATGGCGGACGATCAAGACACGTGCGAGGATTCCCTCGGGCCCGCCGACACCAACACCGTCTTCGGCAAGAAGCTGCGGGGCCGGAAGGGCGCCCTCAAGAAGAAGAATGTCTACGTCGTCAAGAATCACAGCTTCATGCCGAGGTTCTTCAAGCAGCCCACTTTCTGCAGCCACTGCAAGGACTTCATATGGTGAGTGCGGAATCTCTCTTTTCTGTCGCGTGCTCGACCCCTGTTGCACTCTCCGACCGGTTGTATCCGAGGTGCATCGAGTCCTTCCCTTCGTTCAATCCGGACTGAATCGACACGTAGTAGACGTACACGCGCGTCATATTTAGTTGTAATTTAGGCCAGATTAGATATCGCAAACACAACGTATGTTGTCATAATCCGCGTCAAATAGTTTTTGTCCCGAGTGTTTATCCCGAACGTAGGGGAGGGGAAAAAAGCGCCAAACGATATACGCCGCGTAACCGACCTAATCTAAAGCGCACGTTTCCACTCTCCGTATTCTATTTCGGCTTTGACCGCTCGTTACTATCATTAGCTTCATTATTCCGCGTTCAAGCCGCGAATTCGTGCCTCTGCTGGCATTCTCTCGTAAACGTATGCGTCGGGATGCGGTAACGATCGCATCCCCGGGAGAATAGCAGGTGAACGCCTCGGCTTGCATTGACAATTGTGCTCAACTAACAGGAACGTCCATAAATCTCCGCTCCCGTCGATTTTCGCGAAAGCTCATTAATGGATTTATAACTTGGACGCGCGATCGCATTGATGACGTTCGCGTTTAGCGGTCGAACCCATCTTGAAAGTGCGCTCGTTCGACACTGCAATGTTTCTTCTCACGGCGGGACCAAAATGATTTTTCTCGCCATTTCTCAAAATCGGAGGCAGAGAGTCGACGAATACTAACGAAAGTTTCCTATTGTTTCTCTTCATTTTCTGTGTGTGTGTTTTTTAACAACTTTCTATGTACACGCGAATATCGCATTTAGTTGACCCGTTTTCACACGCGTGACATCCATAGTCAACGTCTCGTTGCTCGCATGTCGATTACAATTGACGGTCGTGAATGATTCCCGCTGGATAGGAGCGTTGCTAATCTCGTCTCGTTTATTTGTCCTTCGTCGGCTTTGTCGTGTTCTTTTTAGATCGTGATTTTACGCTCGCGACATTACGCGTCATGACAGAAAACGGTGGGAAGAGGAGATAGATTCGTAATCTCTTTGGTAACATATGGAGTGATACGTCACCGAAAGTACTAATCAACTTGGCATTGATGCGACCAATCGACGCTTTGTTTTTCCCCGACATCATTTTCATCATGGTGTGCGTTGTACGCGCGATTCTTTCTCGATCGAAATTTTGTTGAAAGAAAAAGGAGAACGCGGGGAAGAATCCTCTTCGTTTTCCCGGCTAATCGTTAATCCGCTTTCGCGCCATCCACGTACTCTCGACAGCATATTGATAACGAAGTTTGAGATTAATTATAAGTGGTGGAACTCGCGACTTCTCTCAGGCTGGACGATTCATACGCCGCGCGATTTCGCTTGTCTGGGACTTTGTGGATCTTTCGTATTTGACTTTTACGAATTAACGCCGTATCGCGATCCTCTTCCTCCTCTCTTCTCGCCACGAAACGTCGAAGCTCTCACCGCCAGACAAATACATAAATCCAGTTAATAATGACTCTCAGTCGCTGGCCGGTCCAGCGGAACGACAGCCAGTGGTTAAACGATTCGGCCTTGACGTGCCCTCTTCTTCTTCTCGTTCCGTCCGAATTAGAAACCGCCGCGATGTGAGAAGTAGCGGCGCACGCGTTTTTTCCGAAAGTTGACCTCCACACAAAGTGTGTTTCGATCGCGAAGCATCGACGCACCTTCTTCTTTGGAGCTTTTGGGAAATTTTCAGAAAAATTTCGCAGCCAAGTGCGACTAGTCTTCGCGTAAACAGAACGTTTCGCGTTAAGGACCTATATTGGAATTAAGCAATAATAAGTAAAGGACGTCTGCATTGAAAGTAAGCAGCAAGGCTGGTAGTAAGGGAGTAGGAAATGAGAATTATCCATCTCGCTTATTACCGGTGTTACGCTTTATTCCACTGAAAAAACTCCCTTACTCCCTACTATCTCAAATGTAGATGGTCCTTTAATCGTTATTTTCATTAATTCAGTATCGGAATAATTCGGATTGGCCATGAAATTACGGTGGAGACATGATTACGTGACTTGTCGTTTGAGTTGCACGATTATAAAGTCCGCTCGTCTGCTCGAGTTCTTAATTGTTACGTAGAATGTCTCAGAAATCGATCACAGACTCCCTTTATTTCGAACGAAAATCCGGCAGTGTATCTTCCTCGGACCCATAGAATGACGTCAGTTGTTTTTCGTTTAAAGATACATGTGACGTACGCGATGCGTCGATGCCGGTGACATTGTAACAGATAGAAGAGGCCCCTCTCATATCGTAACAGCACTTTGAAAAGAGAACAATGCCGATGCGATTCTTTAATTTGGAGATAGGGGAATAAAAGTCCGTTCTTTTAGCGCACGTAAAATCAATACGCGACACATGTATTCACACACAACTTTATATACTCGCCATTTTCCGCCACAGCCATGTGAAAAATACACCACGATAAAAAATAATACCTTGGCATAGATTTCTAGTCTATAACATCTATTACCTAACAATACCTAAATCGAACTCTTCGTTTCTGCCACGCTCCCAGAGTCGAAATATTTGTTCACCCTGGCGTACGTCAATGTGAGTCTCGCGGTCGATCATAATAGTTGCGGAAAGGTTGACCGATTAATTTCCATCACGGTTAACTCGAACCACTGGTTGCGCGTTCGCGAAACGATATTTCCTTTTGTCTAGTTTCGCAGTGGAGTCGGCGTCCAAAACGGGGCTTTACTATCGATCCGGAGGTCCTTTCGCTCGCTCGTCGGTCGCACGTGGGGAAACGCGTCATGCAAAAAAAAAATTCGCGACGACTCAACGTCCGTCGATGTCCGCGTTCGTGACCCTGACGAACGATGACGCGCGTTATCGCGTCGCACTGCTTTCCGCGCTCGATTCGTCAAGCGTATTTTGCGTGGATGCGGCAGATCCCCGGGTCGCCCTCATCGTATACTTGCACCCCTGCGTCGGGCTCTTTCACTAGTCTCCACTTTCGCTCGTAGATATCAGCTGCTCCGCTCGTCGTTCGCGTTGAAATTTAAGTATATATTAATCGACAGCCAAGCGAACGTGCGAGAAATCCTTTTTAATTAGAGAGAATTTCAACATTTCTGGAATTCCCCCTTTCCCCTATCTTTTTTAACGATTCATCGACGGAAAGTTCTCTCTAAGAGAATATCTTGCGATGCCTCGTGCAATATTCATCTTGTGATTTCTAAAACGTGAGATTCAAACGAATTGTCGTAACTGAAACAACGCTGCGAATCGATTAAATGTTTATAAGTCTTGCATCAGAACGTATTTATGCAAAGCCGTGACTTTTATTGCACTTGTCACACGAGACATTATGATTAGCATTAATGATTAATATTGTAACGAAGGTAATAATAAGAAGTTGACGCATGTACGAGCGGCTACATGGCAGGAATTAATTCTTTGTCGGCGTTGCGCAACATTTCGCTAACGAAGCTACGATAGAAACGAGCTGTGCTCAAGGAAGACGATCTGTGCGGACGGAACGAGGTGTTACGTAAAAAAAAAAACAAGAAAGAGAGAAAAAAAGGATGGCAGATTAATAGAACCAGTCTGCAGATTTATGCCGGCGACCTTCCGCTCGCGTCTTTCGGCTGTGATCGTATCTCCCGGGGCTCGCGAATCTTATTATCCCCGACACCAATCGACGCGAGAACAACCAATCTCACGCTGACTCGTGGGAATGAAAAGAAAAGGAATTTTGTCGCTCCCAATGGAAATTGCTACACGGTGCGTGTACAGAAAGTACAATGTTATTCCCAGCAGATCACATGGAGGTTGACGCTAAAATCTTGGAAGACGGTGCAACTTCCTTTTGGCGAATCGTATTATGAAATATCTCACCGTTTTTTTTCTCCCGCGTCGACGATGACCGCATCGATATTTACTTTTTTCTCTTAAATTTTCCTCTTCCCCCGCGAAACGACATTGGGTTGTTTTTGAGTATCGATTTAATTGGGCGGACGCGCGAATGAGCGGACCGCTGTGTGCACGCATGGTGCGGGATTTATTTCACGAATTTCCTGCGGTTTCACGTGCGGTTCGCGTGCGTGTCGGTATCGCGCTTTTCGGCCCGTTATCAGGTCGTTTGTGCGGTTTTCGTCGGTCGCTTTTATCGAGGAAGTCCGTATCGCGCGCGCACGTCACATCTTGAATATCGCGGATCAAAAACCGCACCCTATTGACACCGTCGCGGTTACATTGTTATCGTGCGCGCAATTAGTTCTAAATTGCTGTTACTTAACTGACCGTCGCGATTGAGCCGGCCTGAGAATGACGTGAAGTATCGTACAGCATAATTAGAGGACCGACGCGATAAACAGGGACGATATAAGCGACTCTTTTCGCGCGTTTTTATATTCGCATTTTGCTACTTAACATATCGATATAGTGAAGCATCATCTCTATTATTATTTCCGAATATCGCGGAACGGAGAATATTCCGCGAGTGATTACCGTATAAAATCGTCAAAATACGATAGCTATTTACTCTGTCATCGGAAACACATCGACCCATTTACGCAACGTTCTCAATTACCCCACTTGTGATCCTACACTTAAGGCACTTGTAACTCTTGTAACAAAACTGAGTTAATACGACGTTGTAGCCCAACATCAACGATTCAACGTGCACGAGTTAGTATGCCGATTATTCGCGAAATTTTCCTACCGCGCTCCGGTCATCGCCCGAATGTCACTCCAATAAATCAAAGTTAATGGCCCTGTTTTGCGCGGACCGAATCGCGCGTACTTTTCGTCTTTCGCGCAGACCTCCTCGAGAAGGCTTCCTCTTTTCCGCGCGATTTCGCTCTCGAGTCGCTTTTCATCGCCCAGCATCCATTCTCTCGCGGCAGTTTAAATACAACTCTGGAGAGTCTCAGGCTTCGGCGTATACCTCGCGGAAATATATCGAGCTTGCGTTCGTACACACACTCTCTTTCTCTCTCTCGCCGCATATACGAGCGTGTCTATACA